AGAGGAGGAAAAAGAAAGAGAACGATAGTGAAACACAAAAGCAGAATTAGGATATTTTCGTTATTGCACTGATTTTTTTTAAACACACACGCGCGCGCGCGCGCGTGAATCAGAGTCGCGTTGAACTAACTTTTTACTTTATGAAAAAATTATCGACTTCATACTTAATTGAATTATAACGTGTGCAGTCAATTGTACATATATCGAGCATTTTCAGATATTCTATTGTTGCAACTAATAAAAGATAAAGTTTTATTTTAATGCAATATTGTTGGAAATTTTTTTTCGAATGCTGTTGACAAAAATTCGTGTTCCACGAAAAATTGAAAAAAAAAACAGATAATTATTCAAATATGTAAACTGATATTTTTATATATATTGTAATACATCATTTTCCTACAATTTACAAAAGTTTAGAATTATATAATATGTATATACACAAAAATCTATGTCAATATTTTATAGACCATGGTGAAGTATTCGATTCTTCTCCTGTACCATTTTCTTATGATTAATCATCTCTCTAAACTGTCCCAATATAAGATTTTTCCTCTTCTGCCGTCCTTCTTGCTGAACATTGCCAAGACATGTTGCTCGTCGGCAGAATAGATGTAATTTTCCTTTCGGATACAAATCGTTTCCATGCAGCGATGGCTTTGGAAAAGGTAGAAGTTAAAATCAAGATTATTTAAATAAAGGTAAAGAATGTTTAACGTAGCTCTGATAAGCAGTAAAAATATCTCGTTTTATATTTTATTTGATATTTTAGATCAACGAAAACTTCTATTAGTAACAATTGGAATAGTGAGTCGAACATAATTTTATATATTTGGATAATTAATAACTACTTTCAATATGACATTGAAAATCTATTGTCATTTTATAAAGCAGAAATAAAAATTTTCTACGTATTTGATATGCATTATCTGCTGCCATTCATGACATAACCGACAAATTCATATGCCGCAATCTCCTCTAATGTTAGCCCGATCTCATCTCTCCTGGATATGCGTTTTCCTTCGACGACGTAAGCTGCCATTGCCGCACCCTCGCCTGGTAGCAGGGCCTTACCGAAATCCTTGGCTGAAAGAGTCACGAGCGGTTTCGGGGCGGGTCCAACCATATCATCGTCTCTACTGTTATCCGAACTCGAGCCTTTCTTTGGCTTTGGTTTGTCAAGAATAGATTTTTTTCTACCCATATCTCTTTATCATTGCTATTGCTACTATCACTATCGTCAGAGTTACTACTGTCCGTTTCTTTCTTCGCTTTCTTTTTCTTCCTCTTCTCTCTCCTCGCTTCTCTCTTTGTCTTCTTTTCTCTTTGTCTCTTTTTCTCTTTCCTTGCTTTCTTCTCCTTCTTCAGTCTCTTGCTCTTCTAAACATTTAATATTATTAATATTTCTCTACATACTAGCTATTAAAACTTTTCCACTAAATGAATAATTTTATTGTATTGCTTAGATAAAAAATCTTTACAAATAAACATCTAGTATTTAATATATTCCAGCACTAAAAATATTGGCTGTGTTCAGCAGAGAAACAACTTTACAACTGTTGTAAAATTCAATATGATTGGTTTATACGATCTATTGTATAAGAAATCAAAAGCAAAAAACAATATCGTATTGAAGAATTTTGCAACAGTTATAAAGCTGCTTTCTCTATTGAACGCAGCCATAGTGTTCTTAATTTGTAACAAGAATTGTATTAACTTATAAATTGAAAAAAAGACTGTTGTCATAAACAAAAATTGTCATAAAATTATATGTTAGCTGAAAAGTTTTAGCATTCACTGTTGTGTGCGAATGCATCGCGAGAACGAATAAAGCGAGAGAACGGCACACGGCTAATTCAACGCACAAGAGTGTGAAAATTAACGTTTTTCTTTCTTTGACAAAAAAAATCAATTTATTCTTTACTGAAATATACTTTGTACAAATTGAAGAAATTACAGAAAATTTTTACACACTATCTTTTTCCGAATTGACTCACTCGGTCGCGATTTCTCGGCGGTTCTCGAAGGAATTTTCTCACAGCGGTTTTCTATACGATAGCAACAATGTGACTCTGAGCACTAAAAGAGATGGAGCGGCGGCGATCGGCGCATATATTGCCTCTGTGGCACGGGACCTCTTTTTAATAGTGACCAATAACAATTTGCCAACAATTATAATTTTTAACGTGGCATCCGTTGTATGAGATTGATTGACGCCTCGGATTCATTTCTCTCAAATTTCGGCGTAATGGTCATGAGCGACAGAAAATGCGCGTGTGGGATTGACGGTCGCGCGTGACGTTTTCATCTAAGCGCTGCGCTCGCGCGCGTGATCGAATTTTTCTCGAAAATTCGGTGAGCCGTTGCTGTTGTCGGTGTGTGTGTGTACAAAATGAGTTTATTTATTAAAAAATTACAAAATGGTAGATCTTGTGAAGATTAAGTCGCGCTAAAAAAGAATTTCAAAGGCTTATTTTATACACACACTTTCAACGATAATTTATACTAATTAAAAAGGAAAGAATTTTTACTTTTTATGATTTCATTTAATTGAATATCTCTCTATTTAATTGAATATCATTGTTTGATTGAATGTTGACCGTAATTAATGATAATAAGATAATAAAATTAATGGTAATAAGGCTGCTCCTTGCTCTGATGAAGTAGACTGCAAGGTTCACAAAACGTTGGCATTCCAAGAATAGATCTGGACCCGGAGGAAACTCGCGAAACGCATAATCTTTATATCAAAGTATTGATATTTTATAGGGAAAGTTACTTTTTAAAAATAACAAGTTATAGTTATACTCGTTACCAAGTAGAAAAAGTAACTAATTATCGATTTTAAGAAGTAACCCGTTACAGTTATCATTACTTTTTTAAAATCCATAACCACTAATCACAACAGACGAGTGCCTAGAGGCTTACTAGTTTCAAGCGCTATAAGTGTCTTGTATGTAATCGAATCGTGTCCAAGCATATATCAAATAACGATAAAAGTAATTATAAAATTCGTTACTGTTATTAAAAAATATAACTACATTATCGTTACAATAAAAAAAAGTGCAATTATCAGTAAACTTACCTAAAAAATAACTTGTAACTGTAACTTCGTTACAAGTAACAAGTTACTTTCATTCCCTGATGTTTTGTATTAGGAAATATAATATTTAAAAAACGCGATATATTTGAAAAAAAAAATTTTACAAATTATGAAACATTTTAGGAAGAGTTATGACAAAAATTCAATACCAGATATGTAAGAAAATATGAAAAAAAAATGTATATGAAAAAATATGAAGGAAAACATGCCATATTTGAAAAAAGAAGATCTTACAAATGTGAATGGGAAATAATTCATATTTTCTCATTGTATGTTACAAGTATTTATGAGTATTTACTAGAAAGTGATCATTTTATTAATAAGGGATCTATTCTGTAAATGTGTGTGTGTGTGTTAATGACTTTAGAGATTATGGTACACAAAAAAACTTAAACAATAAAACGTAAGCAAGCCCTAACGATATTGTTAAATTGTCGTTGCGCAGCTTTTTTGCTGTATACAAAACTTGCGCAATGTAACAATATCTTTGCAGTTATTAAGAGTTAAATAGGTCGCTAAATATGACTTATTATTTGAAATATTAAAATTATGAGAAATTTTTATGTTATAAAAAAATAATTTTCGAAACAATTCCAATATTTCTTCTTCACTGTGCATATTTCCTATTTTTTTGTCTTCGCGGACCTCATTGTAGATCGGAGATTTTACTTCCTATATAACAACCGACATATTGTGATTCTATATTGATCGCTACTATATTTGCTTACCATGTAGTATCTCACCTGCAATACAATACACATCCTAAGTTTAATATGCATAAGTATGATATTTATTATACGAATTGTATTCTCACACACATGCACACACAAATGGAAGACAATTTGAACATTTGTTGTAATTAAAAATTGAAAATAAATAATATTAAGTAATACTAAGTATTATTTATTATTGTTTAATATTAATTTTTTATTTTATATCAATAAACATTTTGAATTAGATCTTAATAACGGTACGTTTCCAGATATATGTTTATATAAATTTTTTTTCATGTTTGGTATGGAAAATTTGCCCTCGAAATTTGTTACATTATTTTAATTACACCCTTCATATATACATATACAAAGTGTTTGATAAGTAACGATAAAACTCTTGCATAGGGATAGAGCAGACTAAACTGAGTCGAAAAGTCCTCTATCATTTTGCAATTTTTGCAAACAATTTTAATTAACAAGATGTCATTTACTAAAAACATATTGGTTTTCAATAATTTTTTACTCAGATTCCGAGTCTCGACATCGAACTCAAAACTGGGCTCGTGCGACCGTGGACCGGCCGCCTAATAGTGTCACATTGTTTTGAGCCTTTCGACTCACAAGACTCCTAGAGATATCATTGCCACCTTTGACTTAGAGAGGATACGTCCTTAGAGGCTTTCAGGCATAATCCCACGGATGGTAGCTTCGCATCTCCAGCCGCTCGACCGAGTACCAAATGTCAAACCTGCGATGTCTCTCGTACTGAGCAGGATTACTATCGCAATGACTGGTCATCAGTAAGGTAAAACTAATCTGTCTCACGAGACGGTCTAAGTACTATCAGCTTTACAGAAAAACAGTAAGAGACAAAAATTGTTTATTTTCTTCTCATAGAGCTTTAAAAATTTTTTCAGAATTTTTTGTCAACTTTTTAGTAATGCATTTTCTTATATATTATATATTGGCAATTATTTTAATATGAGAAAATGCAGTACTAAAACATTCTAAAACAATTTTCAGAACTCTATGAAAAGAAAATAAATAATTTTTGTCACATGCTGTTTTTCTATAAAGTTAATAGTATTTGAATAAAACATTATTAAAAACTAATATTTGGCGATTTTTAGTATTTAATATCTTGTTAACAATTTCAAAAATTATAAAATGATAGAGGATTTTTCGATTCAGTTTAGTCTACCTCTATGCGAAAGTTTTATCATTACTTATTAAACACCCTATATATGTATATACAGTAAGTCAAGTAAGAGCGGGGTTGAGTTCATGTTATTAGCCTTGAGATAGGTTCGGATAGTTTCATACGATATATCTAAACCTTTCTGCTTTAATTTTACTTGTCCTTGATGCAGTGTTAAGCCAGGATTCCGCGAAAACAGATTCACTATTTTTT